CGCCTCCGCCCTCGACCTTGAAAAGACCACCAGTGAAAGAGCCAGTAAATCATCTAGAGGGTGGCTTGAAAATTCACAAAATGGTCCATGTTCCTCCCAGTAACAAGAAGAATGGTGCCCTGAGAAAGTGTCGCGTGAGTGCTAAGCACAAGATTAGAAAAGAAACGAGTATCGTGTGCAGGCTGTGGTGTGGCTCTCTGCAAACTTTCATGTTTCAATGTATATCACACGAAGAAAAACTAATAAAGAGGTATGGAAAGGCATTTATTGCATAAAATATTGTATTTTAATTAGTTCCTGAAATTTTCGTTTTTAAAAACCAATTTTTGTTGAAGTTGTTTAGGAAAAAGTAACTACATGCATTTTAGCGACATAAGGTTTAAAGGCCCTGCCAGGACAGGGGTGGGATTTAAATACCCTTCGCGCCAGTCAAAGAGTTAAATACTAGTTTAAACAGTATAGATGCCTGGTGTTTTACAGAACATTGGTTGGCAGAAGACCAAGAAGACTTGTTTGAGATTAAAAATTTGTAACTGGTTAGTAAATTTTGTAGGAAGGGTTCTAAAAACAAGAGGATTCTGTATATTTATAAACAAATAGTTAAATACTAGGGAAATCACGTTTCTTAATAATGTAGGCTGTGAACAACACTTTGAGATATCTGCAGTAGAAACTGTAGTATTGAAATGGTTATTAATCGGTATTTGCAGATCCCCTCACAGTGATGTTCATATTTTTTTTGGACAAACCAGAAACACTCGTTGACAGAATACATAAAAAAATAATTTGTGGAGACTGGAATATAAACCTCCAGGATAATGAGTAGGTACAGGCACTTGAAAATATACTGGTTTCTTGTGTTTTAATAAATACAGTTACTGTACCAACAAGAGTTACCAGTAGTTAGGAATCTTTGATGGATGTCATGGTTACAAATAGACAGTTTAATAAGAACTATATAGAGAGTGTAAATATGGGTTTTTCTGACCACCTAGCCCAGATCCTACAAGTGGACATAAACACACAAAATATAGAGTTAAAAAGGGTACTGCAAAGAAAGTTCTCTAAAGAGAATGTAGATAAGTTTGGTCATGCTAAATAATGAATTATGGGAGGAAATTTACTTGGAAAAGAATGTAAATGAACTATATCAGTTATTTATGAATAAGTTCAGGATGGCTGCAGTTGGTGTCTTGCTTGATTCTTGCTCCGAGCAATTTAGTCATGACCAAGCTCATTATGTTGTTCATAGATGTGATAATTGTGTCATGTTAGAAAGCCAGTTAAAAGAAGCTTTACTAGAGTTGAGTTCATCTAAATTCATAATCAAGCTGTTATATAAAGAATTTAAATGACGCTTCAGCAAAAGCTGTAAGACCGTCAATGAAAGAGGTTATATCAGCAAAAAGTTTATGTGAAACCATTAGTGAACAAACTTCAATCAAACCAAAGTGGACTGTTGTAGTGACTGGAAAGCACAAGAGAATTGCCAATGGTAGACGGGAAAACATTTATAGAATACCCGTCATAAATAATCGCTACAGATTACCTTGCAGTAGTGAAGTCTGCGAAACCCAGGTCTTTAATTCAGCTGAGAATCAACAAATAAGAAAACACCACAAAAAGCAAACATCACAAAAAAAGAAGAAGCATAGGATTTTAATCGTGGGGGATAGCCATGGAAGAGAATGTGCATCCAAAGTTACGTATAACCTGGACAAAGATTTTGAAGTCCAGAGGATCATAAAGCCAGGTGCTGATCTAACGGCCACCACAAACAGTGAAAGAAGAGGTCAAACTCTTATCTCAGAAGCTAAAAAAAAGACAAACAAATAGTAAGTGCGTCAAACCCAACTAAAATGATGTGGCAGTTAGTTCATAAAAAAAGGGGGAAGTTAAAGGAAATATCAGGATATTTAGTTACAAAATAATTTAAAGAAAATAACTCACCCACAGAAGGTGGCAGATACAGTAAAGTCTTACTTTATTGATAAGGTAGAACTATTTGAGGAAAATAGGAGTAAAGGTAGTGGTAGATCATTACAAAAAGTAGTGGACTGCAACCCAAGCTCTATGTAAATAGTTCTGAATTAAAAGGCAGAGCTTCTGCAGAATTTGCTGAAATTCCTGATTTTCTAGTAAAAGCATGTATCACATGTATAAAAAAACACTTAATTTCACATTTAATTAATCCATAAATTAAGGTGTGCATCCAGATTTATTGAAAATTGAAAAAATTAGACCTGTTTATAAAAAGGGTAATAGAAATGAAATTAGTAATTACAGACCTGTATCTGTTATGTATATTTAAAAAAAAAAAGGTATAACAGATTGGTGCCTTTTATTATTAAATTTAAGATGTTAACAGAAAATCAATATGGGTTCCAGAAAAATAAGTCGACCATATCTGCATGTCAGTCCTTTATTGGGAATGTATAGGAAACACTGGACAGGTGGTCATTTGCAGTTGCTATATTTTTTGATCTCA